GCATTTCAGATAAGGGACACTCAAACCTGTACCAATATTTTTATTTTATCATGATTATTTCTTATACCCTGATTATGAAAATACTGAAGTCAAAACTTTACTCTTAATGATACCTTTGGCTATGGAGGCAAACAGACTGGGTTTGACACTTGGCTCAACTACTTACTAAATATTGCCTTAAGCAAATTATATTTCTAAGTCTCAGATTCCTCCTCTGTAAAAAGGTAGAGACTATGTGCATTACAAGATTATTATGAGGATGAAACAGAATATGAAAATTATGTAGTGCATGCTTCCTACAAACACTCAAATCTCAGCTATTTTCATCATTACTGATTCATGTTTTACTACGTTTAAGGTTTTAAGGTTAGAAGAGGCTGAAATCATAAGACTATCCATGAAGTCCCTTATGACATGAAATACTAAGCAAAAAGAGTAATAATGATACTTGATCCATCTTGTATTTGGCATTGGTATCAATCCATTTAGCATCCCTAGCATCCCTAGGATCCCTAGCATCCCCCCAGTTTTGGAGATTTTACTCCACGAGCTTCGGAGAGATCATTACAAATTGATTTTTGCTTAAGATAATACACACACTGTGAATACTTTTTCCTGTGTCTAATATTTCATGCTCTATTATATCCTAAAGAAGTCTTCTCTATACAGAAGCATAACTTTTTATATTAGAATTTTGTTCAAGTTTGATTCATTAAAAGGGAACAGGAAGGAATGACATGCTTCATGGCTATTATATTATCCTAATGATAGAACAGAGAAACTAGACCCTAGAAGCCCTAGTCAGTATCACTATCTTGATATATTATCAGTATTACTAACTGGCCAAGACCTGAATACCTTGACATTGTTAAGACAGTATTGAATAGGACTCTTTACCCTTTTGGTATTATCCTTATTTATTCCAGTTATTTCCTACAAAATGGTTAATAAGAGCCAGCTATATAAATGTTTCAGAAAAACATGAACTATTAGATTATATAATGACATCAACCTGGGTAGTTAATACCTGAGGGTCTTAATAATTCCAACTCAATCTAGCTAAGTATTACATTTAGTATTACATGAACCTATACCTAGAAGAATAAACAGCCTAATTTTTAAGTAAAGGTTGCTTTAGTTGGATGAACAAATGCACTTTTGAATTTACCTGTTTTCTTCCCCAGAGTGAAATAAAAAATTAAAGAAAATTCAAAGGCCAGAGGCAAAATATAACAGCCCTAAACATACAAAATATTAGTAAATGTACTTATAACGAGCAAAGTAAAGCATACATGACTGAGAGAAGATGGCTCTTCAGGTAAGTTTAGCCTTTGAGAATGTAAAAGGATTAAAGTTTCTAAATTAAGATTTTCAAGATGATTTTAAAATGCTTATTCCATTTATGAGTAAGAGCAAAAATAGTTTAGAATAATTTTGCAATCTAAGTCTATCTACTCAGAATACCTTCTCTTTTAATTTCAAGGATTTATAATATATTGTTCAGTAAGATTCCTTGGGTGTTTCCTTTTCCTCCATTCTCCTCCCCACCCCGCAAAGCCCAGTTTCTTATTTATATTTTGGGCAGATCAGTTAAAAAACAAACTTAAGAAAAAGCAAATATACATAATTAGAACTTGTATGTTGTAGAAATACATATTAACTACAGAATAAATTAGCTGCATCACAACTGACATTACATTACCTTCATTTGTACTACCTAAAAGTTAAACAGCTAAGAATAAGGCTTAAACACGCAATTACTTCCTTCATTCGATACTTAGCCTTGTATTGTATTTTATTCATATATTATTCACTTTTTTATTTTTCCTTTTTTAATTTTTTGCATACAGTATTTTCTTCTTCCCACAAATTCTCAATTATTTTACCACTAAAAAAGCTTTTCCTAAACATGTTTCAAAATCAAAGCTACTAAGATAAACAGTTGTCTTCCCTCTCCTCACCTTCATTCTCTGGTGTGTCATTTTCTGGCCTCTATAGCTTTTCCGTAAGCGTTCAAAAACTAGATTACATTTTAAAAATAGAAGGCACAGGAAAAAAAGATGCACCTCAAATAGCTATGAGAAATATTTGGCCCAACTCTAAGAAACCTTTTCTTGTTAAACCAAGGGAGTAGCAAACCTGCCGACGTCCCCATCTCCTTCCATACTTCTAATCTAGGTCACTTTCACATACAAACGAAAATATTCTGAATAATTTCTCTACATAGGGATATATATATATATATATATATATATACACGAAATTTTCTGCTATCATCTGAATATGAACCATTGGATCATCAAGATAAACAATTAAGTCCTGAAAGCCATCAAAACTTGTCTAAGCAACAAAATATTTAAGTATGAATTTGTATCATCAATATAACCAAACATCAAGAAAAAAAATGAGAGTAACAAACTTGCTGCAAACCCATAACAGATTCAAAACATTAAATAACAGCTGTAATAGAAGTTTAAATTTATTCGTACATAATTCTATTTGTTAATGTTCTCTTTCAAATTCTATGTCATTTTTAGATGGACTCCCGAAAGCATGAAAATGAATATAAAATTCTATAATCAAAATGTGCTGCCCCAAATTTTTTAAGGAATTTAAAATGCTTTAACCCACAATCACACAAAGGACATGTACACATCTGAATCAGCTTCGGTTTTCACATCCTTTCTTAAGTCACTTCTAAACATGGGCAGTTCATAACTGTGAAAGGATTAGGTTTTCTTTGGTTGTTTTTTTTTTTTTTTTTAATTGAGACAGAGTCTCACTCTCTTGCCCGGGCGAGAGTGAGTGCCATGGCGTCAGCCTAGCTCACAGCAACCTCAAACTCCTGGGCTCAAGCAATCCTTCTGCCTCAGCCTCCCGAGTAGCTGGGACTACAGGCATGCGCCACCATGCCTGGCTAATTTTTCTATATATTTTTAGTTGCCCAGATAATTTCTTTCTATTTTTTGGTAGAGACGGGGTCTCACTCTTGCTCAGGCTGGTCTAGAACTCCTGCCGTTGAGCGATCCACCCGCCTCGGCCTCCCAGAGTGCTAGGATTACAGGCGTGAGCCACCGCGCCCGGCCAGGATTAGGTTTTAAGTTTCAGAATTCAAGACACTGGGTTCCTAAGTAGTTCATGACATGCCTTTTACTTCATCATACAGTTAACCTATATAACATGATTAGAAGTTTTCTTCCCCTTTTTAAGTACCTGGCCAAGCTAGGCAAAATTATGACAGAGAAATTTACCTTTATCACTGTACCATAGTGCTTTTTCCCATTCACCACCCTCTCACCTCCAGTTTCTGCTTTCACCATCCTCCTCAAGTGTCCTAAGTGCGCCCTATGTTGAGCACAAGTAAATGTACTACAGCTCCAAAACCATTTATTGATCTACCCAAAACCTAAATGAGCCTCCATAAAGGCAATAGTAATTAGTCATTTCTATAAATGCCTTACTGTTTAAAATGTATTATTTAACATGCCATAGATTATTTTTGCAATCTCGATTTTATTGTAAATCTAAACTCTGTTGATGCATTCTTAGTTAGAAATTCAAAGTTTGGGGTTCCCATAACCCTGTGGTCCCCAACCCCATGTCCTGTTAGCAACCAGGCCACCCATCATCGCCTGAGGTCCTCCGACCCCTACACCCCTCCCAATCTATAGAAAAATTGTCTTCCCTGAAACTTATGAACCGGGCTGGACAGCAGGAAGTGAGCAGTAGGTGAGCGAGTGAGCAAAGAGTCATCATCTGTGCGTATAGCTGCTCCCCATTGCTCACATCACCGCCTGAGCTCTGCATCACCTGCCCTCATGGAAAAATTATCTTCCATGAAACCAGTCCTTGATGCCAAAAACGTTGGGGACCGCTGCTATAACCCACTAACCACTATAAGAAATATGTAGAGTAGTACTGTGTTCCAATGTGTTTACTCAGTCACTCTTCATTTGGCCACGTATATCCTTCAGAGAGATACAGGCAAGGAAATGTCTAAGACCAAGTGAAGTGTATTTTAAAGTGGGCAGAGTATATTCCTTTCTCCAGCACACCTGCTTCATTAAAAGATGGTAATTTTGGATATATACATAAGAAATCTGAAGGACACATTACATATTGTTAAGGGGTAATGTCTAGCAAAAGAACCAGGGGAACAGGGAAGTTTCCCATTTACTTACACACTTCTATACTATTTATAGTTTTTAATAATAAACATATTGCTTGTACGATTTCATTTTAAAATCAGCCAAAAATGTAAAGAATAGTAAATACAATTGATGTGAACAAAGACCTTGAAATGATCTTCTGAAAAAGAAGATCAATGTCAACAATCATGATTCTAATGGATAAAATGCTTATTGCTTTTATGTCATCAAAGCACTCTACCAACATAAACTATTCCTTATGGTAGTTTTTACTTTCACTTCACAGAATGCTAAAAACCTTCAGGTCATTTGAACCTTAAATTCTTGCCCCAAAATGTCACAAACTCTAGAATAAAACTCTGCTACATTTTTTATACCCCGTGATAATTATAATCATGTAGAAACTACAGGTTAACAAAATGCCCACTGCTGTTTTCCTGACCTTGAACCTACAACTTCTATTAAAATGTCCAGTTATAAATTTATAGTAACACTGACACAAATTTTATTAATAAATAACCACATGTTGAAACAGTAATAACACTCTAATTAGTGCTAAACTTTGCAAAATAAAGAGCCTACTGAGTTCAAATCCCTTACACAGATACTTAATGAAATTCAAATCGAGAAAAAGAAGGTAGACAATATTGCTAAATAATGTGGTTTAATGTCCCAATGGGTTTATACGGAATTAAGTAAGTATAAAACTACCTTCTTATAACTTTCATAATTCTACAGTCACAAAATGGGAAGAATTTCAAATTTTTTTGCTCAGTTCAGCCACAATTAGTTTTAACTTAATACATTTTATGCCTAATAAAAGAAATATAATAAAAAAATTAAATATTTTACCAGCTAACAATGGTAGGAGGCCTTCACCCCTGTGTCAATATCTGTCAAAATAAACATGTAAGACAAGCATTACTACTCTTAGTTTAGATAATGAGAGCCAAATACCAACATTTTCCTAGAGATACGTTACTTCTAAACATCACAGGAAAATTTCTGGTGAGTTATCTATCACATTAGCAAATGACATTTTAACATTTAACCTTTCTCCAAAAATATATAGATTTTACACACCAATTAGAACGGGCAAAATCCAAAACACTAATACTAAATGCTGGCAAGGAACAAAAGAAGCTCTCATTCACTGCTGGTGGGAATGCAAAATGGTACAGTCACTTTGGAAGTGTGGCAGTGTCTTATCGAACTGAACACGCTCTTAACATATGCTCCTTGGTATTTACCCAAAAGAGTTGAAAACACATTCACCAAAAAAAAACAAAAAAAAAAACACTGCACATCAATGCTTATAGCAGCTTTATTTACAATGGCCAAACTAGGAAGCAACCAAGATGTTCTTCAGTGGGTAATGGAAAAATAAACTGTGGTACATCCAGACAATGGAACAGAGTCAACACCAAAAATAAATGAGCTATCAGGTCATGACAAGACATGGAAGAAACTGAAATGCATATTACTAAGTGAAAAAAGACAATCTGAAAGATCAGTGATTGCCAGAGGTTAAAGGGCAGGTAGGGACACTTGCCATCACAAGTGACCTTATGAGAGAGGGCAGAGTTGACACACACAGAACAGAAGATGAGGTGAAGATGAAGTAGAGAGATTTGAAGATGCTGACCCGAAAGACTGGACTGATACAAGGAATGCCAGCAGCCACTGGAAGCAGGAACACGCAAGGAACGGATTCTTCCCCTGGGCTCTTTAAAGGGAGCAAAGCTCTGCAAACACCTTAACATCAGCCCAGTAACACTGACTCAAACTTTTAGCCTCTATTAACTGTAAGAACAAATTTCTGTTGTTTTAAACCACCAAATTTGTGGTGGTTTGTTGCAGCAGCCCTAGGAAATAAATGCAGTCCCCTCGCTGCCACTGTGAATGTATGTTACGGTAAGTGGTTAAGACATCCAGGTCTCTGAAAACTCATCTAATTTTTATGTAGGAGAATGATATAATCAGATCTCTGTTTCATAATGTTAAATTTGGTGCCAATGTTGAGAATTTATTGGTGGGAAAAAGAAATTAGAAACAGGAAAACCACTTGAAAACTAAAAATCCAGACAGAAGATAAAGTTCCGAATTACCAGATATTTGTGAAAAACCATCACTATGAAAGAAAGAGACAAAAAACAAACAGCTGTGAAAAGGTACCTGAATGAACACAATGTAGGAAATGGGAGAAATTTCTAAATATGTGTATGTAATTAATATTCTCAAAGGGATAAGAGAGGCTACTGCATCTATGAAATAAGAATGGGATGCTATATAGAAGAAATAAAAATGAGAAAAAGCTCTGAGACATTAATAATAGCAGCTGAAATTAATAAGTCAATACAAGTATCAGAAAATGAGGTTGAGAATATTTCCCAGAAAGAAAAGCAAATATATCTTTATCCTCTAAATTCTATGGATCTGAAAAAGAAAAGAAAAGCAAAATGCAAAGAGAAAAAGAAGAGTAAAAAAATTGACTCATTTTTAAAAATACAGTGTCAGTCCAAGAGAGACAAGTTCCACGTCAAGGAGTTCCAGAAGGAGAGGAAAAAAAAAAAATAAAGTGGCAGAAATTACTGAAGCCTTCTACAATAAAACATCGCAGAGCTGATACACACTAGTCTTCAGTTTGAAAGTCTGAGTAGATGAATGAGGGAAAAAATAACTGACCTCTAGACATAGTCTTGTAAATTCTCAGGGCATAAGGTGTAAAAATAGCCTAAAAGCTTCTTAAAAAACAAAAAGCAGACCATCCATAAACAAGGTAATAATTCTACAACTGATCAACAAGTAAGGATAATTTTCAGAGTAAAAGTAGGTGCTGTTAAAAGGTGTAATTTGGGAGTATTCCAGACAAATCGGGATGTATGTATGGTCACCTTTCTTATAAAGGAGTAAGAATCATACTGGCATCAGATGTCTTAGCAACATGGGAAGCTAGGCAGCTATGAACAATGCCTTAAATGTTTTGAGGGAAATTAATTTTAACCTAGAATTCTACTCCCAACTAAATTTCTGATGAATTGCAAGTAGGAATTTTGCAAAATAAGGAAAGAAATTTTCAGACATGCAAGGACTTAGAAACATTTCACAAATACATTTTGCTAAGAAATTAACTTTAAAAAGTCCTCAACTATGTGCATATATTCCTTTAATGTAAGTTTTAAAACACAAATATTTTTAAAAGCCAAAATTGATCAGAAGTTTTGTAATCTATTTTACAAGAGCTAGTTAATATTAATATAATGCTGATCCCAAAACTTTACATACCACACAGGACAATCTCATTTTGAGTATGAAAAAAAAATCCTAAAGTATCAGCACATCTAATCCAGCAGAGCTAAAAGAATAACACACCATAACCAAGCATGATTTATTTACTCTGAGTACAAAGATCCTTCACCATTAGAACTTTATTACTATCATTCTCTATATTAACAAACTAAGTGGGAGGGGAAAGGTGTGATCATGTCAGTATGTTTTTTTTTTTTAAGTATTTAAGGAAAGTAAATATCAATTATTAACTTTTAAAGTAATTTCTTACTCAGAAACAAAAGTAACTTCTTTAACTTAAAAAAAAGTGTATTTATCAGAAACCAACAGTAAACATCACACTGAAAAGCAATTTCCATTCAAGTAAGGAACAAGACAATGAGGCCAACTATGATCATGATTACTGTACATCATTAAGAAGGCTCTAGCTCTGTGTTATCCAACGCAGTAACCATTAGACACAAGTGCTACTGAGCATTTGAAATGTGGCTAGTCCAAACAGAGATATGCTCTAAATACAAAATAAACACGGAATTCCAAAGACTTAATATTTAAAAAAATGTAAAGCAGCTCATTAATAATTTTTATATTATGTATTGGAAATGATAATATTTTGGATGTATTAAAATCAATTGCCTGCTAGAAATTTAAAATTACATATATTACTCCCATTTATGGCTCTCAATGCATTTCTTTCGAGCAGCACTGCAGTCTAGCCAATGCAATGACTTAAAAAAAAAAGTATAAAAACTGAATAAGAAACAGAATCATCATCGTGTGCAGATAAGTGGTTGTGTGACAAGAAAATCCAAGAGAATCATCTGAAAAACAGACAACCAGAGGGAGAATTCACTAAGATAACTAGATACAAAGTAAATAATAAAAATTGATAGCTTTCCTATATATTATTAATAACCACTTAGAAAATGAAATGGAAAAGGATCTGAGTCACAATAGCAAAAGCAACTTTAAAACACAGTCATGTTATACAACACCCATACTTAAGAGTGTGTGTGTGTGTGTGTGTGTGTGTGTGTGTATAAAATTCTATTAATAGGCACTAAAAAAACCCTGAATATATAGAAAGACAGACTTGTTCCTGGGTGGGAAGGATAAATACAATTTTGCCAAAATTAACCTGTAAACCAAATGCAATCCCCCAATCGAAATCCTAGTAGGATTTTTCTTAATTGTTTTGTATGGTTACTTGATAGATTAAGTAGGTTACTTGATAGAGTTAGGCTCCAAACAGCTAAAAATGTAAATTTACGAGTCACCACTGACTCTATTCATATAACATGAAATCCCTCAGAAACAGTACACCAGTTATAAGACAAAGGATTAAGGACAGACACTACAAGAACCAGGAAGAAAGGCAGAGGAACCAAGAGTAGTGCCCTAGAACCAAAGGCAAGCATGAAGGTTGTCAGGAGTGTCAAAGGCGATAGAGCAGGCAAGTGGTAATGTCACTGAAGGACAGCAAGCAGTTAACCTGGCCTAAAACAATCCATCACTTTCTTGCCTTCATTATCATATAATTTTTTAAGTTATATTTTTATATATTGCCGAACTAGCTAGTTTTTCAAGTACGTATTTATCAACAGTAAGTCTATTCTTTAGGAATTCCTGAGTTCCCAGAAATAAGGGTGTACTAGTCATTGTGATGTGGGATTGTTGACCTTCCAAAATGTTTCTGGTATGATGCTCAAATCTTTCAACTCAATTTAATAAACACTCAGTATCTCATATCCATTACTGTGCTAGGTAGCAGAGATTGATTCATTCACTCAACAAATGTGTGTCTCCTGTATGCCAGGCACTGGGTGTGCAGTAGTGAATAAAATACAAATATCCCTGCCCTCATAAAGGTTTCTTTCTAGTGGAAGATTAATTAAACAAACCCACTCTCCCTTAAGAAAGTAATTAACAACAAGAAACAAAATTATAATCACCTATAGTTAACATGCTTGTACTGTGGCATCATATAATATAAATAAACCTTGTTAACTTAAACATACATACAGTCGGCTCCTAATTATCTGTGGATAAATTATCCATGCATCTAGGGCAATTCCTTAATACTGATTCATGTTTCTGGATGGTATCCTAAGCAAATTTCTACCATGTAATCTTCTCACACATGATATAGTGTAAGAACACACAGGCATTACACATACCAGTTTTACTATGTCCACCATTTTCCAAATGAACTTGCAGAAACAAACTCCCTAAATCCAATTCCCTTCAATTCATTTCCCAGAGCCACTAACCAAACTCAATTCATCTCTAAAACTGCCCCCAAGCTATTAATAATAAGCCTCTAAACACAGGCCTACCTTTCCTCTATTAGGATCATGGTCTCTAAATTTTAAAGATCTTGAAAGCCCCCTTTGTAAAAACTGCTGACATTCCAATCACGTGTACCTTAATATTGTGTACACGTACTACTGCTCTAGTATACTGTAAACATTAAAAATCATGCACAAAATGTAGAAATTTTTTAAAAATGAGAGAAAGAATTTCTACCATTTTCCTCCACCACACCAGCGACTGATTGCATGTATACCCTAGAGTATTATGTACCCTGCAAGGAAGACATCATTCTA